GGCGAAGTAACCGGCTTTGCGCAAATCCGTGATATAAACCCGCGTATCTTAAGGGCCGATCTGTATTTCATTTCTAGTTTTCTGCACATTTTGTATTTTTCTTGAAGTTTTGCTAATTTTATTAATTCTTCATTTGTTTTCCTGTCAGTGTAGATTTTTCTTAGCACTTGCTTATAACACCACATTTTAAAGGCCTCCAACTTTCTGCTGATTGTGTCCATGCATCTGACCCATACAACAGTCCTTGCCATATACAGTACTAGTGTCTCGGTTAACGAGCACAATTCGTTCCAGAAGGTTGCTCGTTAACTCAAACCATTGTTTCAATGGTTTGGATAATTGGTTCCAGCTCATCGAAATTACATACAAACTAAAAATAATGCAGTAAAGTACACTATTACTTGAGGTGTGTATGTAGAAGGCTCCTGGTTGATGATGATGATGGGAATTAGAATGGGGGTGGAGGAGAAGGAGAACAGAAGGCATTGGTGGAAGAGAAGTCACCCCATGCCGCCATTTCACCCATAAAATTTTAGTTCACTTGGTGTAATTCAAGATTATTTTAAATCAACACTGCACTGCACTATATTATCAATCCAGTGGGGTAAGTTATAACTAACGATCCTACTTAATATTCCTTATAACGAACGGTCCTATAAAATTGAGAATGCTATAACGAACCTAAACTCCACAATCTAACATATTTATTTATTTTTTTATTTATTTTTTCTAATTTATTGTTTTTTATTACAAATATTAATGATATTCTTTATTTCAGGGTTTAGATGCATATTTATGCACTTTCTTACAATTTTACAATTTTATATTATATTTTTCAGTGCAGTGGTTGTATTTGGGGCCTGGAACGGATTAATCCTATATAACGAATGCTATTAACAAGGTTCTAGAACCATTAGATTCGTTATAGCATACCCCACTGTATGTAAATTATATTAAACTGACCAATAATTTGACTGAAACACAAAACAAAGTGTTTATGTTGAAGAGTCTCAAACAAGATGTTCCTTCCTCTGAGACCGATAAACAAACTGACTCCAAGCTTGGTGTGTTGAGTGGCTGTTTGGCACGCAAAAAACTAGTTTCCTACTTCAGTTATGTTCAATAAGTTAAAATGACTAAAAATTTAATATAAAACTTTTAAAATAATTGAATAGTACAACCATCTTGATATTTACTAAAATGGTAAACTAATTTAAGCCCTGAACCGATACTGTATTGCTGACTAAAACTACAGCTGGTGAGCAGCCAAATGCAAGCTGAAAACATGTTAGAAATAACGTAAGAATTGATAATCCGAAATTTTTTCGTTAACCGAAGTGAAGAATCTTATGGAAGGTAATCGTTATCCGAAATTTCGTTAACGGAGGCGCCGTTATCCGAGGGATCACTGTATAGCCTTTCAGCAGCCTTTTTCACAAGTTAATGTCACCATGGGCCCCAGCAAAGATGAATACAGTACAGTATCAGTCCTCCATTTCAAGCTGAATTTGCTTTGGCTAGTTATTAAAGCTTATGAACAATCTGTCATTATTGATTGTTGCTACTAGCTAGATCCTCTTTTTGTAAGGACCTTTCTGATTATTATACTTTAGACATTGGCCCCTAGAACTAGGTCTCAGGTTCTTAGATTTAATTAGGGATTTTGTCAGAATTGGAATCAGCTTCTTTGAGGTAATTTTTGCAAGCTCTTGCTTCTGAACACAGAATCTCAGAAATTTATGTTCCTAGAGAGATTCAAGTTTTCTCATTTCATCCTTCCTCAAATGATTTAGGCTTAGGTATGTCAAGTCTCATTCATGTGAAAAATTAGTTTAATATTAGACCTAACTGGAGAATGGCTGTCATCATCCCTTTGTCCATAAAGCAGTCTGATTATGAAAGGCTTTCAGCAACTTTCATTAATTTTAAATAATAAATATTTATTTATTTTTAAATATACAGTATAGCTTTCAAATGATTACCAAAGTCATTAATGTATCAGAGCCATGTACCATGGCCAAGTTGTATGATCTAAGGCGCTTACCTTCTTCCATTGCTTTCCTTAGTCTTAGTTGTCTGTTAAGACAAGTTAGTAGCTACCTGAATGATGAAGTAATGCTGATGGTATACTTGATAGTTGGAGAGTTTTTAAAGTCATTATCCTTGTAGACCCATCTCTTTCTTTTGTAGCTAGTTAGGTAAAGTTCACTAGTGGTTTGCCTGTTATATCAGCATTTTAGAGAATAGTACCACGCCCAATTTTCTAGCTGGCATCAGCTACACAAGTCACATAGTGAAGATTATTACTGGTAGATCATGAAAGGAAGATTGTTCCAGAAACTCCTTTTCATGGGTGAGCATGCAACTAATTCACTTGTGTCCCCTTCCTCCCGTGAATAGTGTGAGGTTGAATGGGACTAAATGGATTAATTTTTAATCGCAGTATGTCCAATGCAGTGACAAGTGAAGCACATATGTTACTGTGACATTACAACTCATTACTCTTCTGCTTAAATGGTGACTGTTTCTTCTGATTTCCTTTAAGGTCAGTTGATGCAATGGGAAGGTAAACTAATCATTAGATTAGTCCCAGCCACATAAGTAATTTATGGTAGTTTCCACTCTATTGACATTGAGTTGCTTGATTGTAGAGGCTCAGTCATGAAATGGGATTTTTGAGATACGTGACATGTAAATTTTTCATTTTATCTGTGTGTTTTTTTAGTCAAGTTACCTGTCTAGCTGCAATTTTTATCCATTGTCCACAGCATCTTGTCTAACGTTCCTTTTATGCTGTTACTGAGACCTGCCTGGCATTCACTGTATTCCGAGATGACTTCTCCCAAGTTTGTAGACTTTACCGTGTTTGTTTCTCAAAGCCTCCATTGGCTTGCAGACTACAGAGTTGACTTATGGAACGATCACCAGTTATAACATTGCTCTTCCACATCAGGTTACTTGTAAGTATAATTGGCAGAGTAATTATAGAAAGAATGAAAATATTGTCTCAAAAGGTACTGATAAAATAAGATTTATTATTCTTATATACCAAACTTATATATAAACATAAAAAGATTTTTCACAGTGAACAATACTTGCTTTTTCAGCCCTACTCCTACTGTTGAGTCTGCTAGATTTGGTCCTTGTGCCATGCCTATCACTCCACTATCACTGGGGTGCACGGTCCAGCTGGTGTTTGGTTTTGAGTATGCCATCCTCTTAACTGTTGCTATAAATATTGCAGTGAAGTATATTTGTCATGCTGTTGACTTACAGTCAGAGAACCCATGGGAGAACAAGGCCATGTATCTCCTCTACACTGAACTTTGCATGGGTAAGTATACTTTATGAAAAATTTCCATTTTAATTTAGTGTCTGTTCTATCTAATGTCTTTACTGCTCTTGCACAGTTGTGCAAGTTAATAAATGGTATAAAAATTTTACAGAAGGAGAAATTAACAGGAAGAATGGTAAGACTAGTGTAGACAGTGACAGACTAAGGCTAGGACAAATACAGTATACATACATTACTGTACAGGAGTATTTCATGTCAGTACAGTGGTCCTCGGTTAATGAACGGTTCGATTAACGAAATCTCATTGAAAAATACGCTTTTGTTGTGTGTATCAGCTGATCGGCTAGTCCGCCAATACAGGTACAGCTACCTCGACTTATGACCTACTCGACTTACAACCACCCGGACATATGACCCCAAGTGTGACTCAAAATTTTTCAAATTATGTATTTTGAGTCGGCGTTGGTGATTACGCTGTGTACTGACAAAATTTTTGTAATTCCCTTTAAAATGGCTGGCATGCTTAAAAGTGATAGTTTTGTGGTGCTGAGAAGAAAGAGACACCCATTCTAGATTTCTATGTATTATCTTCGCATTTTAGACTTAACCAATTCGATTTATGACTGGATTTGGGTCCCTAACCCCGTCGTAAGTCAAGGAGCAGCTGTAATTGGTTCTATGTTTACATTCGTTTCCAGTGGAGTAAATATCAAGAAATTTGGTCTCTTGAATATTTCTGCATTTTTTATATTAAAATTATTGGTCCTTCTGAAATTTAGCTAACATATTGATAATATAGACAGTACTGTACAGGAACAGTTTTTGTGCACCCATCAGCTGATTGAATCACCCAACAACGCTTCTCAGTTTAACTTTGTTTACAGTGGAGTGTAAACAAAGTGGAGTGAACATCGATTTTGTTGGTCTCTTAAATATTTTGCATTTTTACATTAAAATTATTGGTCATTCTGAAATTTAGTTAACACAGTAAAAGTTCATCCGGATGCCAGAAATCCGGACACCGAGAATCGGACTTTTGAAAACTCAAAGCATTATTATTATTTTTAATTTAGCTGGCTTTGTGTGTATTTGTGCATGCGTGGCGCCACAGCTACTGGCGACCACTTGTGATCGCCACTTTAAACAAGCAATCAAAATGTGACAACATAATGAAATTTTGAGTCCTACTCTTTCCATTTACAGAGTACTGTACAAGCCCATAATAATGGCTCCTAAAGTAGATAAACTTCCTTGTGTGAAGAAAAAAACACGTTGAAATTGAGTGACAAACTTGAAATAATTAAAAAACTAGAACGTGGTGTGAGCAATACTGTTCTAATGGAAACATATGACATTGGAAAGTCTACAATTTATGATATAAAAAAGGCAAAGAATAAAAATTTTAGAATTCACAGCTTTTTCTTTAAAACTGCTCGTTTAGATAAATGAAGCATGCTATATTTGCTAATGAATAAACTATCAAAATGTACCTGTTCATCTCTTCTTTATTTCTCATGAAATTTGAATTTTTAAAAGTACTGCCTGAGAATCGGAAAATCAAAATCGGTCGACCCAATCCCCAAGCGGTCCAGATTTTTGGACTTCTACTGCATATTGATAATATACAGTGCAGAAATTATTATGAAACCCGAAAAGGCTATTAAAACCAATGCACTCTGTAAAGAATATGGCATGTCATCATCATCTGCCTCTACAATCAGCTGTTTGATATGTAAACAAAGCTGCCGGGAATACGACATACGTACACACCTCAAAGTAAGTTAAGATACAGTATTCTATTGTTTTTTATTTATTATTATACAGTATACTGTACAGTACTATATTTAGTTTATATTTAATGTTTTGTTAATTCTATTACTGATATACAGTTAACCCTCACTTTATCGCGGTTAATGTAACCCGGAGGTCCGCCATAAAGTGAAAGCGTAAAAGTGAATAACATAACATATGGGATTAATTGAAATGGAGTCGGGCGATCTAAACTCCACTTTTGGACGACACACAACTATGTTGCAGTAAAAATATTATCTTAACTTTATGATGGTATGCACACACAATTAATAATTAAGAGAAATATCAATATTAGGTTTTAACACTTACATTAGTAGAAAAAATGGCTGGGCACAGGGATGGGCGGTTGGTTCGAGGCAGAGGCAGATTTGGCCCTCACCTGTGTCACTTGTATCAATTGTATCACTATCCACCACAGAGGCTTGCAGGGCCTCTTTGTCAAACTCCCCAAAGTCCATATAAGTCCATATCCTCCATAATTATCACTATCACTGACTTGGGCGGCTGTGGTGGGTGGCGGTGAAGAACTGGTAATGTTTTGATGACTGGGCGACCTTGTCGCGCACCATGTTCGCGCCGCTTACAACATGGCGGATGGCAGGAGGTTGGATCCAAAAATGGCGGCTCGCCAGCCGCTCTCAGCGTAAAGGGGTACACACGCGCATGAAATGTGAGCATCCTGGGTTCGGCAGGGCACCGCGTAGCGTGGAAAGCAGCGAATGTGGGACCGCGTAAAGTGAGGGTTAACTGTACAGTACTTTAAATGTATACTTTTTCTGTGAGTTGGAACCAATTACCCAATATCCCATTGAAATAATAGATTAGAGTTAACGAACTACTCTGTGGAATGAATTGTGTTTGTTAACCGAGGACCACTGTATATAAAGTGAATCTCTGACATTCACATTGATTAAGAATACTTCATAATTCACTGTACAGTATATACTTAGTTGGGTCTTAAGGTGACTTCTGTGTTTATATTGTAAAATCATTTTTCAATTTGTCTATTTTTTCCCTCTTTGATCTCACTAATTTGCCTTTATAGGTAAGTCATCTTTCTCTTTTTTCAGCCTTTCACTCTTTAAGATTTTCAACTTTATTGTCTTATATCCTCCTAACCTATTAGATACTCCATATCCCTTTGCCATCTTTGTGCATTTTCATTCATATGGCTCTTGAGAGACTTTTGACCACATTCCTTACTCTATAAGTTCTCTTAACTCACAACATGATCCTCAGCTCTCTACCACTCATGTCCTCAGTCTTGTCTCTTACATTATTCTCATACCTGTACAACTGAATTTCATATCCATATGTAAGAGAGCAACACTCCTTTGTGCAATGCTCTTGCAAACTCTGCACTTTCTTTTTCTATAATAACTGCTCTCGGGCACATTTGTTCTGAAAATTACACCGTTGTTGACTTAAGTTTTTCATTTCCGCTCAGATGAACATTGCTCTCAAAATGATTTTATTCATTCACAATCTGCAGCTCCTCACTATCTATAGTGACACTACTCTAAAACTTATCTCTCTTTCAAAAACCATTACTTTACTCTTTTTAACATATACTTTTAACAAACTTCTACAGTATTGTGTAGTAGCAGCACTGCATCATGCACTTATATTGACTGTGATAGCTTCCACTTTACCATGTCTCAATTTCATTCCCATCATCACTTTGTATTATCGTTTCATCTGTTAATCCTTCCATTAAGACATTAAGTACCAGGATGTCACACACCCTGTAAGCACTGCTTCACTTATTTCAAATGACTCATTCTCATCAGATTCTATATACTGTACTGTATACTGCATCATATTTGTAGACTTCCCAAAAGCATTTGACAGGGTACCATGAGAAGTAGTAAAATGGACAATGAGAAAGCTAGAAGTTGAGGAGTACCTTGTTTCAGTGATTATGGCATTATATGGGGGCTCAAAACATCTATAAGAGTAAATGGTGAAGAAAATGGAAATTTGAGGTGAAAGTAAGGGTCCATCATAGGTTTGTCTTGAGTCGCTTCTGTTTATCATGGTGCTGGAGGCACTATCACAGGACTCAAGGATTGGTCTGCCCTGAGAATTGTAGTACAGTAGTACCCCGCTTAACGCGGTCAATAAAACCCACAGGGTACCGTGTTAAGTGAAAACCGCGCTAAGTGAACAACAGAACATATGGGTATAATTCCAATAGAAACTGGCCCGACCCCCAAACTCCACTTTTTCCTACACAATACCTATGTTCCAGTAAAAATAACATCTTAATTTTATGATGGTACATACACACAATTAATACTTAAGAGAAATAGAGAAATACAGTCGCCAAGTTAATGTCCATTCAAATAATGGAATCAACTCCCTCCCCCTCTTCTCACACTACACTCACTGGCTCTTCCCTCTGAGAAATTTTGGGGGGGAAACCACTAAATTTTAATAAACAATACCTCAAACTAAAGTTAGGATAATACAATTGACATTGCTGGATTCCTTGTAAGACCAGGAATATTTTGAATATAAATGTCATATATTTTGCACAAAAGATAACATATTTACTCAGAGTAAACTTTATATCTAAAATTTGTATGTCTAATGCAAAATCTATGATGTTTATATTCAAAATGATCACCAAATTGTAAGAATTCCAGCAATGTAAATTATATTCTGGCCGGGTAATTTGTATGAATTTTATGAGCTAAAGCAAATATCTTCAGTTAATAAAAAAAAAAATATTCTTCACGACACTATCTGTCAATCAAAGTACCCCAACTTGCCTTCCCCCCTCTTCCAACCGCGCGGTCAGTCCCAACCCTTCCCCCCACCCCCCACCAATCCTCCCTTCAAGAGATGTTGGGTGAAAAAACTAAATTTTAACATTTAGTATTAAATAATACCTCAGATTAAAGTTAGGATAATATAATTGACATTGCTGGATTCCTTGTAAGACCAGGAATATTTTGAATATAAACGTCATATATTTTGCACAAAAGATAACATATTTACTCAGAGTAAACATAACATCTAAAATTTGTGTGTCTAATGCAAAATCTATGATGTTTATATTCAAAATGATTATCAAATTATAAGAATTCCAGCAATGTAAACTATATTCTGACTGGGTAATTTGTATGAATTTTATGAGCTAAAACAAATATCTTCAGTTAATAAAAAAAAAAAAATATTCTTCACGCGGTAACAGATGGTTCGGTCGGTCCCTCCCTCCCCCCCACCGCCCACCAACCCTCCCTACCAGATGTGTGGGAAAACCAGAATATTTACCTTTTTAGTAATAAATAATACCTCAAACTAAAGTTAGGATAATATAATTGACATTGCTGGATTCCTTGTAAGACCAGGAATATTTTGAATACAAATGTCATATATTTTGCACAAAAAATAACATATTTACTCAGAGTAAACATTATATCTAAAATTTGTATGTCTAATGCAAAATCTATGATGTTTATATTCAAAATGATCATCATATTGTAAGAATTCCAGCAATGTAAATTATATTCTGGCAGGGTAATTTGTATGAATTTTATGAGCTAAAACAGGCAGGCAGGCAGTCAGGCAGGGTGGGGGGTGGGGCGAATCTAAAAATAGCGTCTCGAGCCGGACACTCTGCGCGTATACGTGGAAAAAACCCGCGTTAAGTGAAAGTTGGCTCTGGCGAGGCACCGCGTATACGTGAAATCGCACTAAGCGAAACCGTGTTAAGCGGGGTATTACTGTATGTTGATAACTTAGAGCTGATAACAGATACTGTAGTATTGAAGAGGCAATGGAGAAATATTATTTAGTGGTCTGGGTGAGGGCCCCATTGTGGAAAGTGGAAAATAGCCATATGCTGTCTGATAAGGTGTTGGCAGCAACTCAGTACTGTAATGTGCTACGATTGTGGAAGGATGGGTGCAGAAGAGGTGCAGTGGAGTAAATGGCAGACTGCATGATGTTGCTGATTTAAAAGTGTTCTCTATGTCCTGGTGGGGGTGCTGAAGTCTGCTCAGTTGCAAGAGACAAAAGTGGCTGGAGGAAGTTTAGGGAGCTGCTGTCTTTATTCACGTCTAGAGGATATACTCTCCAAGTGATGGCATAAGGCAACTTGAGTGAAATGAAATGAGAATGGTAAAGTGGATGTGTAATGTAACACTGAAAGACAGGGGGCCCTGTTCAAAGCAAAGATGGCAGCTGGTTATTGAAAGTATCGGCAGAGTCATGCATAGGGGCGTGCTGAGATGGTTTTTGTGCATGTGGAGAGAAGGGTAAGACCGATTTGGTCAAGGGGTGCATGATCCTAAATGTGGAGGGGAGGGAAGGAAAGCCAGGGGCAGGCCAAGAATGACATTAAGAGTTAGGAACCTGATCAGAGAGGCTACAAAAAGGCCATGAAAAACTGACATTAGGGAATTGTGGCTATATTACGTAGATGATGATAATGATAAAAACTCATTGGCATTAATGTGCATTTATCTCACCACTGTATCCTGAGTTCAATCCTTGGCCTGGGACAGATGGGGGAACGGTGTTTTCCAATGTGACCAGAACAAACCTTGTAAGTGTCCTCTTTCACTGGACAATAAAGGTTATAAAAACGTAAATAAAAACAGGCCAACCACCTAAATGGCTAATTAGTTGACAAGTACCTCCAAGAATATTGAGTGCCATCTTACCGCTAATGCCGAGGGACCTGTGTTTTCAACCCACATACAGTCTCTACTTTGGCAGCTAATATTGCAAGTTGTATGATACAGGATTGTTTATAAAATAAGATTTCAATGTTAATCCCTCATTTTTATACATATTCTTTATATTCAGATCACTTGCATGAGTATCCACGCTCTCTTTATGCTTGATATGCATGAATATACTTACATATTTAACTTTATTTAATTATGTTAGCATGTGTTTCTTGAATTATAAAATTAATGAATCACCAGATCAATAAGAAATAATGTTTGGTTTAGTTGGATGTGATGATTGATATAATTTTTCCCCATTCCTAACTTATAGTGACCTTCTTTTTGTTAATGTAAGTGCTGCCAGTATTTTATTTGTATTTATTATTTTACCAGCCAATTATATATTTGCATTGTAACTACAGTAGCAATCACTATTTCAGGTTTCTTCAAAGTGGTGCTGTATGCTGTGTTTATGGTCATCATGATCAGAATCCACACCTTCCCACTCTTCATAATCAGACCAATGTACTTAACCATGAGGTGAGGACCTTAGTGCGGTCTCTTTATATATATGGTTTTCTTAGGAGTTCCTTTTTAATTAAACATAAAAGAAGGTAAAAAAGGAAGTTAGTGAGATTTGTTTTTAAGAATTAGAACTCTACATTACATCAGTTCTGTATAATTAGGTTTATGATATACATACACACAATCTCTTTCTCTCATGTGTATGAGATGGGATGGACAATTCTTGTTTTCTAACTTCAGCAGCTGATGGTTTAGCCCATTCCTTGGCAGGATGTTAGTCCACTGAAAGCTTACCACACAACTTTAGACCAGAATTTGGAATCATTCAAATTTGTTTTATGTAACGTAAGTTATTTTACTATGAATTATGAAAATAGTGTACAGAAGTCATGGAAAAATGAGTACAGTGGGGTATGCTATAACGAACGGATCCTACTACGAATATTCCTATAACGAACGGTTTTACCTATAAAATTGAGAATGCTATAACGAACGCAACTCCTACAACGAACGCGGATGAATACGGGACTATTTCGCCTGGCGCATGAATATTGTTGTACCGCGACCCACAACAAGAGCGTCAGGCGCCATCTTTGTCTCATTGTGTAGCCAGTGCACCACTGTTATTGTTGAAATTTCGTCTTTTGATGTGGAAATTCGCGTTATTTGTATAACTATTTTGTTATACAAGTATACAATTGTAACAATGAGTCGTCCAAAGCGAGTGAGAAAGCTAATAACCCTTGAAACTAAGAAAGAAATTATAAAGAAACGTAAGAATGGAAGAAGCATTGCGAAACTTAGTGATGAATATGGGATGGCTAAATCGACTATATGTACGATTTTGAAGAATACAGAGGAGTTAAAAACTGTGCAAGTGGCAAAGGGAATCTTTAGACTTAGCAAAGCAAAGTGTAATGTGATTGAAGAGATGGAAAATTTACTCTTAGTGTGGATAAAGGAGAAAGAAATGGCAGATGGTAACATTAGTGAAGCTATAATTTGTGAGAAGGCCAGACAATTGTTTGAGGACCTTAAAGCCAAGACTCCCAGTGGAAGTGATAGTGATGTGCCAGTATTTAGGGGTACCTGCATGCTGAATAATACTAAGGTAAGATAAAGTACCGTATTTTTTACATTTTCCACAGAATTTTTTCAGTGTTAGGTGGTTGTATTTGGGGGCCTGGAACGGATTAATCCTATCACGAACGAATGCTATAACGAACGAGGTTCTGGAACCAATTACGTTTGTTATAGCATACCCCACTGTACTGTCATTGGGGAAATCTTGTCTTTTATAAATGGACACCACACAATGTGACCGGCACAGCTTCAGGATCTATGCATTCCATAAGCACTGTACATTCATTCTGTACTGGGTCATATTTACCTCAGCTAGTGTGACTGTGTCTTCAAACCAGAGCATGAAACCTTCCAAGCTTACTACATCTACTATTGGGGAGCAAGATGAAGTGTAATATTTAGGCTAAATAAAGGCAGGCAATAGTGCAAGCTAAGTTACATGTAACCTTAAGACATAATACAGACTTGTTAATACGATACATTACTCACTTAACGTAAATCCTTCTGATTTTTTTCTAATTAGGGGGAAAGCCAGTCAAAAGATATAATTTTCTGAAATTGGTTATATTAGGGACAATGTGGATATCATACATCAAATTATAAACCTTTCAGTACACAGAAGCAGCCCCATAGCTTCACTTTTCTAACTAGAGCTAGGTACCTACCCATTTGTAAATAGGTGGTGGTGGTGGTAGATGCCCAGCCGATAAGCTTATGAGCTGTATTGTCGCCAAGTCTTTACCATTAACCCCTTCACTATGATGGCGCCACTTTTAGTCTTGTGTTTGGCTAATGCGTTGCCAGATGATTCTATTCAGCATAGAGAGAGACTCCCCGTTACGCAAGGGGTTTAACATATTTTTAGTAATATCTGTTCACAGGGCTGAAGATGCTGTGCCCAGGCCCTACTGCACCAACTACCATATTTTATGGATTATAAAATGCACGTTTTTATCTTAAAAATGGCTTTAAAAAATCAGCCTGCATCCTATATGTGATGCTGCTGTCTTCAGTAGGTAAATTCTACCTAGCCCAAATCCAGAATTAAAAATGTTATTGCTTACTTAAACACATTATTATTTGTGTTAATTACTAAAAAATAAGATTTATTGTAAATATAAAAGCTGGATTTATAACTCCTGTACTGATGATAACTCGAGATGATTAGTGTCCGTATGATAGACACCCAACTTTTCAGAGCTAAGCAATAACCATTTCTAAAGTCTTACAAGCATTATTATCTAGTAATTTCATATCTGGTACATTTATCTTTAAATCTACTAATACCTGATACAAATGAAGATTTACAAATAAATTTATTTTCACATTTGCGTCTATTAACATCGCTGGCTGTGTTAGACTTGTCACTGTAACCACCAGACTACTGGGCCAAGCTCTGAAATGCTTTGGTTATTTTTCAATTGGAAATTTTGGGTTACATGCACACTCAATCTTACATGCAGAATATGCAAAAAAATAAAAATAAACAATAATATGTGGTCAAAAACATAAAGGGAATAGACATTTCCTTGTAAGCCAGCCAGAATTAGCAGTTGTGTTATGGTTATTTGTTTATTTTTTAACTTGTAATTTTGGGTAGGTACAGTTAACCCACACTTTACGCGGTTAATGTAACCCGGAGGGTACCGCGGAAAGCGAGAAACGCGTAAAGTGAATAACATAACATATGGGATTAATTGAAATGGAGTCCAGGCCGATCCCCAAACTCCACTTTTTGACGACACATATCTATGTTGTAGTAAAAATTACATCTTAATTTTATGATGGTACATGCACACAATTAATACTTAAGAGAAATAGAGAAATACAGTCGCCAAGTTATTGTCCATTCAAATAATGGACACGACTCCCTCCCCCTCTCACACTACACTGCCGGCTCTTCCCTTTCTGAGAAATTTTGGGGGGAAAACCAGGTATAGTAATAAATAATACCTCAAACTAAAGTTAGGATAATATAATTGACATTGCTGGATTCCTTGTAAGACCAGGAATATTTTGAATATAAATGTCATATATTTTTCACAAAAGATAACATACTTACTCAGATTAAACATTTTATCTAAAAATTTTATGTCTAATGCAAAATATATGATGTTTATATTCAAAATGATCACCAAATTGTAAGAATTCCAGCAATGTAAATTATATTCTGGCCGGGTAATTTGTATGAATTTTATGAGCTAAAACAAATATCTTCAGTTAATAAAAAAAAAAATATATTCTTCACGACACTATCTGTCAATCAAAGTACCCCACCTTGCCTCCCCCCCTCTTCCAACCGCGCGGTCAGTCCCAACCCTCCCCCCCACCCCCCACCAATCCTCCCTTCAAGAGATGTTGGGTGAAAAATTTAGATTTTAACATTTTGTATTAAATAATACCTCAGATTAAAGTTAGGATAATATAATTGACATTGCTGGATTCCTTGTAAGACCAGGAATATTTTGAATATAAATGTCATATATTTTGCACAAAAGATAACATAGTTAATTTGAGAAAAATTTTTATCTAAAATTTGTATGTCTAATGCAAAAATATGATGTTTATATTCAAAATGATCATCAAATTATAAGAATTCCAGCAATGTAAATTATATTCAGACCGGATAATTTGTATGAATTTTATGAGCTAAAACAAATATCTTCAGTTAATAAAAAAAATAATAATTCTTCACAGGGTAACAGATGGTCGGTCGGTCCCTCCCTCCCCCCCACCCCCCACCAACCGTCCCAAGGAGATGTGTGGGATAACCACTAAATTTTAATAAATAATACCTCAAACTAAAGTTAGGATAATATAATTGACATTGCTGGATTCCTTGTAAGACCAGGAATATTTTGAATATAAATGTCATATATTTTGGACAAAAGATAACATAGTTAATTTGAGAAAAATTTTTATCTAAAATTTGTAGGTCTAATGCAAAAATATGATGTTTATATTCAAAATGATCACCAAATTATAAGAATTCCAGCAATGTAAATTATATTCTGGCCGGGTAATTTGTATGAATTTTATGAGCTAAAACAGGCAGTCAGGCAGGGTGGGGCAAATCTAAAAATAGCGTCTCGAGCCGGACACTCACCGCGTATATGTGGAAAAAATCCGTGTTAAGTGAAAGTTCAGCTCTGGCGAGGCACCGCATATATGATAAAACGCGTTAAGTGAAACCGCGTTAGGCGGGGTAATACTGTATATATACGTAATCTTTTTCACTCAAATCCTAATGAAACACCACAATTAGAATACGGTGTTAGCTGTTGTATAAACAGTGGGAACACAGTCCCACCACCGAGATGAGGGAACACTCACACCACCGATCGTCTCGTGCGAAGCAAGCGTATAAATTAAAGAAAATACTTGCAGTGTGTTTAATATGTTACAGTATATTATAAATAAATAAATAAATTAACAAATAAATCGGTAAATCCATTTCAAGTACAGGTGGCCTATCAAAAATCCGGCAACCGATAAACCGGAACCTTCAGTTTTCCGGCATGGATTTCAGAGCGCATTTTCAAATATTTCTTTGTTTATTTAATGAAGATATATGTTTTAGCTCATAAAATTCATACAAATTACTCGGCCAGAATATAATTTACATTGCAGGAATTCTTACAATTTGATGATCTTTTTGAATATAAACATCATAGATTTTGCATTAGACATACAAATTTTAGATATAATGTTTACTCTGAGTAAATATGTTATCTTTTGTGCAAAATATATGAAATTTATATTCAAAATATTCCTGGTCTTACAAGGAATCCAGCAATGTCAATTATATTATCCTAACTTCAGCCTGAGGTATTATTTATTACTAAAAAGGTGAATAGTCTGGTTTTCCCACACATTTATCTGGTAGGTAGGGGTGGTGGGGGAGGGAGGGACCGTCCGACCATCTGACACCG